CCATAGACAAGAGATGGAAAGCATGCCAAGATGACCAATTTCAAGAGATGCCTAAGCTAATATAGGGCATTATGCTCTTGCATGTGGGCACCATATGCCTAAGGTTTGGAGAAATTAGCCATTAGGTCATGCCTATTTTTATAGAAGATTTATTAAAAAAAATTCTAAAATTATGAAACCACTATATCATTTACTTGAGGACAGCATACCATTTGAACTCAATTTTGACTGTTTAACTACATTTGAAAACTTTAAGAAGTGCTTAGTTACTGCACTTATCATCATTTTTACCTTAATGGTTTTTAAATTTTGGATTGATGTATAATGGTAGTGACTAGCTGGAATTTTGATAGTAAGACAGATATGTGATTCAGCTTCTTATTTTAGGCATGATTAAACATGATACTAGCCTAAAGGTAGTAAGAATGGCTAACCTAGTCATATTAATATTACATATGCTCCTTCATGAACCTTAACCTTTCTTGACAATGGCTTATCACAAATAAACCCACCTTATTTCAAAGAAGATGACCTAAAATATTCATCTTTTAGGTCTGCCATAGAAGTTAAATAAGATTCTATCAAGGACCAAATTGGCAAACCCAGTACCACATTCTTTATATGGCCTTATGTTGGTGTGTTAATGTCATTATTATAACAGATGCCTCAAAACCACATAGCTATTTACTCAAATTTCTTCATTTAATAGATAAGAGGATGAATCCACTCGGAAAGACTAGAATGACTCCACTAAGAATACATATTTTAGGAATAAAGGCTAGCCTGATTGGAAATCAATCACCATAGGTTAGTCTAACCGCCAAGACTAATCACAAATAGCTAAACAAATATCATCTATTTATCATGTTTTGATTGCCTCAAGAAATTTCTCATCTTGGTATGTAAATTAAAGTTGAGGTACCTCACTAATTCAACATTTCAATGCTTTGAAAAAACACAAGTGGCCACTCAAACTAGTCGAATTTGACACGGTTCACCCAAGAGTATGGTTTACATCACTTGATCAATCATTACTGGCACAAGTCATCCAAATCATTGGCAAAATAACCAAGTCAATCAAGCTAGAAAGAGGGTACTATTTAATTTTTTTGAAAGATCGATAGAACACAATTTTTCTCAAGCTCAGCTCTCAGCGGCAAGGGATCTGATTTTAACATTCCTATATTTTTCTTATTACTTTAACCTATTTTATAATTTTTTTCCCTTTTGTTTGGATTTTGAACTTTTAAATAATTTTGTTGGTGAAAAAAAGGATTTTGCACTTAAAACATGCTGGGAAAGCCTTAAGAATGTTTGAAGGACAATATCATTTCTCTAGAACTTATTTGAAAATTTAAAAGCTTTAGAAGGACCTTATGAACCTTTTTTTTTTATTTCCCAAGGTTACGTGCAATTTAAAAAAAAGTGGCTTTTCAACAAAATTCCTGTGGTCAATCAATCGTCCTTGTGATGTCGCATTGACAACTAACACGATGAGAATAGCAATGAAAGCCATTTTTTTCCCTTTCAATTTATACACATCCACAATACAAATTTAACTGTAGATGGGCTACCAACAAATATGAATAGCCAAACTAAATTACCTTTTGAGTTTTTCAAGTCCATCATATCTCAAAGGTTGAATAAATTGCACTCTTTGTTGGATCATTTCCATTTCTCATATGAAAGAATTGTGATTGATTCAAGTGCAACTCAATAAAACATATATCTATAGTTTTTTTTTTTTATCATCTTCCTTCCACATTTCTTGATTTATATTTTCTACATACCATATGTCATTAGCCGGTCCATCAATAAATGTTGCATGTTGTCATGGCATGCATGGCATTCAGTGTATCTGATCCCATGTTAGCATGCATGATTTAGCAATCTGGTGGTGATGTTATGAGAAATATATAGTGGCGAACTAGGTCGAACTAGTCTTTACGAGTTGATCATCATGTCTCACTCAAATTTCTCCTTGCTAACTCAGCATCTAGGCATGCATGCAACAACAACATCAACATCAAGCCTTTATCCAACTAGGTGGGGTTCCGTATGCAGGGAAATTATAAAATAACACAAGGTATCTGTGCATGGTGATACACAACTATGACTATAAATAGTTTAGTTACACGCAGCCTCATTATCTGTCTACTTTAAGTGCATGTATCTACAATATGCATTGATAAATTGGTTTTTTTTTTTTTTTTTTTTTGGCATGATCTTTTAGTCTTCCTATTCAAAGAGCATGTAATTAAGTAAGTAAATTCAGCTTTGGTGTTGCATATTTTGCCTAAAATTTGTCGAATCTTCATATTTTTTGTTCTTTATAAGGTTGACAAGAATTAAGGAAGCTTTTAATCAACCAGTTTTTGATGTAGGCAAGGGGGGTCAAAACAAGTTGGATTTTAAATTTTGGTGAGCTTCTAAAATCGGCTCATTAATGAGCCTTTTCTACTTATTTAGCTCAATAAATGGTGGAATAAATTTACTTCCTAGCTCATAAAATCAAAAAGGTATTCTCATTATTATAGAGTGGACTTGTGCCTCTTCCCCTTCCTTTGTCTTCTCAGTTTCCCCTTGCTGGTTGGTTTCCCGTGCCTTGCCCCTTTGTCTCCTGTGCTGGCTCTTCAGATCCCTTGCTGGTTGGTTTCCCGTGCCTTGCCTCTTTGTCTCCTATGCTGGCTTTTCGGGTCTCCTGCTGGCTGGTTTCCCGTGAACTGTTTGGGGGAAATTCCATGGGATTTTCTCTAATTTCTGTGCAATTTTTCTGCTGCAGTTTCTGCTATCCCGTGCAGAATTTCTGCTGGCTGTTTGGGAATGTATTTGGCTGATTTTTGGGGACCTTTCAGCTGCTATCTTTTGGCCTTCTATTTGGTGACTTTTGGTCTTCCATATTCCCTAATATAGTGGCTGTTTAGCTTCTTTCTTTTCTTATAAATGGGAGATGTTTTGTATGTTTAAAGGTTGGTGGAAATTATGATTTTTGAAGACAAAACCTGAGGGTTTTCTTTGGAATAGCTTGAGAGCTGTCCTTCTCATTCCTCTCCACTCTATAGCTTGCGAGCTATACTTCCTCTAGTCTTCTAACCTCTTCTTCTCGCCACAAGTATCCACCCCACCTGTATCCTTCTCTCAATGATTGGCAAGCTCCTTTAGGTGCCTTTAATTTGTGTTTATGTTGTCAAAGTTTGTAAGATGTTTGTGTCCAAGTTTGTAATAGTCTTTTTTATTATATAAGTTTGTTTTTTGTCTAATTTATAGAGTTTTTGTGAGTTCATGTAAATTTCTATTATCTGGAAAGAGTTTATTTTGCTTGCAAAAATTTGGGGCCCTTCCCAAATTTTTGCTTGCATCAGTTTCACAACTCAATTGAAACCTTTTTCAATGACGTTTAGGCGACAATAAGGAGTTCATTGTAGGGGTCCAAGTAAATTTGTTTTTTTAAATTGTCTTTATTTTTTGCATTTTTTGTGCAAAACCTTACTGGCGGTGAGCATTTCACAATGCTTACACACAGCACTATGGCGCAAGGCAAGTTTTAGCATAGTCATTGATTTTGCTATAACTTCAACAATATTTTCTTATAGAATCTCACGAGAGGTCATAAAGAGTACTACCAAGGAGCCCCACATCAAAGAAGGCAGGAGAAGGAACTACTCGAAGAACATAAGCAAATGAAAGCCTCCATAACCACATCATTTATAGGATCTAGGTGCCAATGTAATATCACAATAGTGCATACAAGTGGAGCCCACTATCATGAACCTTACAAGAATATCTTAAACAGATTTTTTTTATGTTTTGGCATTTTTTTGTTGAAACTTCTGTGTTTTATCAAGCACTTCCAAATCTTCAGGGGGCTTGTATTTATAACAATGAATATGACTCATTCCTCAGCATCCATTCAATTTAAAACTAGATATTTCCTAAGGAGTCTGCTTACAAATGCCAAAGAATAGGGAATAGAGGCGAGGTCCATTGTTTAAGTGATTTGCGTAGCATCGACCTAAGATTTGTTTGAGAATTCATATTTTACCTGCAAGCCAAAAAATAAAACATGGCTTGACCGCATGAGCATTGTTTCAACTTGCATAGAGAAATGTAATTACATGCCTACAACTCCTTTTCAAGTAATTTTTTATTTATTTGACGAGAGACAAAAAGGCTTCAAATGGAGACTTGCCAAACTACAACTACTCCCAAAACTTAAAAATAAACCCCTTCATAGGATTGCAAATCTAGCCAACCAATCTGGAGAGCTATTATATCCATTGACATATTTTAACAACATAATGGACACCTTGTGCAGCGATAAAATTGCATTATAACTCAAAATCCCTCAAAAATATTTTTTAATTAGGGAAAATAAATTTTAAGCCGAGTTATGACACTTGAAATCAATGCTCGAGGCTACAAGACATGAAATACCAGAAGCAGAGCCAAAAAGCAAAATCATTGTACTACGTAAGGCGCAATGCAATGAAGTTCTAAATAGCAATTTCAGGATTTCGCATTATTATGAAGTAGCCATTCTAACCATACCCTCAAATCATTTTCCATACTAACTCAAGACTAGAAGTGAGGTTGATGGTAGGAAAATATATCAACTCAAACCAATTTTTCATGGTGCCCTGAACAAAATGTCAGTAGCAATAAATCTCGTTGAACATAATTTACAACTAAATTTGACTAATTTCTCTAATTAATAGATATCATCAATGTTTTTAAATTTCGGTCATGAATGCTTCAAACTTGTAGGCCTTACCAGAACATCAAATATACTCTAACTGTAGACCAAGGCTTGCCAGAACTATGCCTTTTGTCAAGTATAGACCTATGAGCCTACCATAGTCCTTAAAACAACTTGCCCAGATGATAAGTCGAGCAAGATTCATCAAGTTAACACATTTTGGGCAATCTAAAAAGTACGTATCTTTCTTCTCGCAAACTACAGTCATCATACTCTGGGATATTATGAGGTATATGCCATTTACCTTGAACTGCAGGATCCCAAGATGCATTTCGCAGCTTTTCAATGAGATTTTCTGCTGATTGAACTGTAGCCATCTTCATTGACATGCTTACCTTGAAGAAAAACAAAAGAAAAAAAAAATAATACTCAAGTTCTAATTTGTTCGGACAAAAAAACATATTAACTTGAACAGAAACTATGCTGCCGTTCTAAGGGGTCTAAAAGCTGAATCAATTTCATATATTATACCAAGTAAATGCAAACTCCTGCAAAAGTGTTAGCTCGGCTCAAATTTCTCTCTCAAACTGATTACAACAAAATCAGCGAGTTGGCACATACAGATCCAGTTTAGCCTAAATGAGCATAGCAAATCAACTCTTCATGAAAACCACTTAAAAAAATTTTGCAACATATAGGAGGAACACCAAGTAAACCAGTCTGAGAGAAACTATTCAAGCAAATATTAAATTTACCTAAGATTAAACAAAACCACCTTAACAGTGACTAAAACTAAAAAGACAAGAACAGCTTACCTCAGCAAAGTTATTATATCCAAGTAGCTTAGCTTTCTCCGACCTTAGCTTCAAAATTTGATCAATAATCGGAGTATTATCCAAATCTCCATCAGATGCACGAGCAATATAAGAACGATATACTTCTTCACGCAATGTTCGGATTTGAGCATGTTGCATTACAGCAGAAAAGCTTGGATAATCTAATGTTATAATCCAAGGTCCACTTTCTTCAGAAGCATTTTCATGACCCTGATGTGGCATCATAACCATCATCAGACAATATCCCATCAATTAGGATGATTATATCCACAAATAGTGCATACCAAAAAATTGGTAACATGTCAGACATTAAGGTTTTTTGTGCAAAATCTAATAAGCGATACCTTGGATATGGCTGTCTGTGCAAATAGACCAAGAGCTGTAGCAGGCAACCCTTCAAGTTCCTTTTTATCTGTGATTAACTTTTCGAACTTCTTGGTAGCGTCCAAAACATTTTCATTAAATTTTTGAGATAACTTCTCAAGTTCCTGCAAGTTCATGTGATACCTTTGATAATATTTTCTGAAAATTACAAATAAATGATTTCTAATGAAAACATTTAGCTCAAACACTAACTAAAATTCATATCTTGTTTAAAAGATGCCTTCAGAGAATGAGATTCATATTATCTGCACTTGGGGTCACATAAAATGGAATGGCAACCACAAATTCAGGTTAAGGTTACAAAATATACCATCATTGAATAATTCAGAACTTCATATTTTTCTTCAAAATAGAATATCGTATAACAAAAATAATAACAACAGCAACAAGTCTTTATCTGCTATGTGGGGTCGACTACATGAATCTTTTTTCACCATTCTATCCTATTGAGTCAATTTCTCATTTAAATCTAATTAAAAAAAAATATCATGTACAACACTTTCTAACCAAATCTTTATAGGTTTATCTCTACCTTCTTAGCAGAGACTAAATATAATACATCTACTCGCCTAATCGGGTCATCGGAAGGCCGATGTCTTATGTGACCAAATCATTTAAGGCAACTCTTTCTAATCTTATCTTCCACTATAGCTATTCCAACCTTTTCATGCACATACTCATCTCACAAACTATCTCAATGTAAAGCCACTCATTCACCTAAGCATCCTCATCTCAGCAACATTTAACTTAATTTTATGTTTCTCTTTTAATGGCCAACATTCTGCATCATAAAACACTGTAGGACTCACCACCATAATGTACTTTCTATAACACAACAAGCCAATGCATTTCTTCATTTCAACCATCCAACATGAATTCTACTAATACTATTCCATCTATTTCACAACCATTTTGAACAACAGACTTAAAATGAGAAATCTTTCAAATGACTTGATCAACCAATGTCACAATCACGCCACTAGATCTATTACTACTAAAATTACATTCCATGTGATCAGTTCTAGATCTACTTAAAAAAAAAAATCTTTAGATTCTCAAGTTAACCTCCATAATTCAAGTTTTTTTCATCAATTCCCTCTTTAGTCTTAACAACAACAAGAATATCATCAACAAAAAGCATAAACCAAGGTACATCCTCTTGAAAATGTCAAGTAAGAAAATTCATGACTAAAGCAAAAAGATATGGCTTAAAGTTGATCCTTGTTGTAAACCAATAAAAATAGAAAAAACATGGTCAAACTACCTTGTGTTTGAACACAAGTAAAAGCTCCACTATGCATATCCTTAATGACTAGAATATAAACATTATTAAGTCATTTCTTTTCTAGAACTCTCTAAAGCACTTCTCTTGAAACTTTATCATAAGAAAGGTAGAGGGGCTTTTTAAATGACATTAAAATAAAGAGCAAAATATAAAACCGTGTTAAGAAAAATTAAGGCACCATCTCCAGCACCACATCCCTTTTGTGACTCAATTAACCCTCTTTTGAACTTACTTCCCTCTTGCCCACAGCATGTTGGATTTTATGCACGAGTAAAAATAGGTTTGATTTTGTTTTTCATCACCTTTTTTTATTAAGTTTAAATGAGAATTTGACTCTTAATAGGACAATGAAAAAAAAAATTCATGTAGCCGACCACACGTTGTGGAATAAAGGCTGTTATTGTTGGTTGGATTCAGCCATAAGCTGAACCTGCTATTTGTTTGGACGACTCAAACAGTTTGATTCAGCTATTTTTTGTTTAAGTTGTAGTCTTTCTTTTATCTTTGTTTCAGATTATATAAATAGGATGGCCGACCTCATTTTGAGGTGGTGAAGAGAATAAAGTAACGTTTCATTTTAGCCTCCACTGATTTTTGTATCCAGGAAATCAATTCAAGGTGATGGTTTTTATGTATTCTGGCTGTCTTTTCTGTTTCTATTCCAGATTTTTAGTTCTCTCAAAATTCTTCCATAGCCTCTCTATTCCGGAATTAAGCTGCTTCACGTTGATTTGGGTAACAAAAATCAGAAACAGCTTACTTAAGGAATGATAGTGTCCAGCAGAATAAAAATCAGCCAAAAAAAGGACATCAAGATGCACCTGCTCAATTTCATTGAATTTCTCCCGTTGTTCATCTTCAAGAGCAACACCATTTAGAACAGCTTCCTTGACTTGCCCTGCAGGATGAAAGATTGTGAACCTTGTGATTGTCCATATTTCACAATTAAGGTTTTCAATGTTTTGATAAATGCTGTCGCTGGAGTACAAATGATTATGATGCATTGCCAATGCATTGCCAATCAGCAGCAAAGGGTGATTTACCATGTCAGTCAAGAAAACTGTGGTCATGCAAAAATAGCATAGAACATTAAAATGTACGGAACATAAATGTAATCTGCTCATTTCATATGAAGGAAGAGGTCATTACTCACAACCATCCACACAAATTCACAAATTCTAAGTAGTAGATGGCATTTTACCAGAGATGTTGCTGATACGATTGCTTCTTTGCCCATGAAAGACATTTAAACGCATAAAACTCTCCTATAATTCATCTCCATTCAAAATCTTCGCTTTCAAGAAAACAGAGTACACTTACAAATTCTTTATAAGGTTAGCCTTCTCATAACTCAGAACAAAATACAATTATGTCAAAACTTCAAATTGCAATTGATGCATAACATATATGAAAATATGATTTAGATTAGTATTTTGTACGCTTGATGATTAAGAGCAAGTTAACTAAGCTTTATGGTGAGTTAAACAATGAAATAAAACATAAAGAGCGGTAAACACAAGCTTATGCCAATTCCTCCCCCGAATTGGGTTTGGATTTCCTCCTACGCCATGGCCGTCAGTAGTCTCTCTCACTTCCGATGTACCCTGATTGGTTTTCATCTCCAGTAGTTTCTTCATCATTTCTTCCATAGCCGCGAACCTCCCTTCCAACCTATCATTGTTGGTGGAGATTTCCAGGAACTTTCCCTCCAGATCTGTTTTCAGTTGACCGAACTCGCCTTCTAATACTTCCACCTTCTTTCCGGCCATTTTTCTTCTATCGGATCCACAAAAATCTTCTTCCGGAGACGAAGATCTTGCTGAAATTTCAGGATTTCAGCCGCCGGTGGTCCCGAATCGACGCTCTGATACCAATTTGATAGGAAACACTTGGATTTCCAAGTGTTTCACACCAAAACCAAGAGGATCCAAAGGAAAACTGCTGTCCACAGCAGAAAAAACAGCCAAAATACAAGAAAAATCTGAGAGGAAAGCGTAGGAAAACGATGCAAACACTTTTATTTCGATAACGGATGAAAAGCACTTGCAAGATACAACTTTCCTTCAATTCGAGAGGAAGGAAAAACTCTCCAAAAGATCTCCGGCGAAGCCAAGAGCCCAAGACACCAAAACCTAGATCTCAAAACAATTCAAATTCAAGATAATCCCTAATTCTCTCTTAACTCTCTAATTAAAGCAAAAGGAAAGATACAAATTACATAAACACCCTCTTCATTCAAAAATTCCCTCCAACGAAACGCTCAAAAGCCGCCTAGCCCGCTCCTTCGTCCGCGGTTTCTGCGATCGGCGGGTTCCGCCCGGCTTTGGACCGCCGGGTGTAGAACCGGACCGGTCCAGCTGGGACCGGTCCAGTTCTACGCGTAACAATTTAGTTAAATGGTAGATCCAATTTGGTGATAGTATTTCAAAGCTACACAATGATTTACCATTACAATATTGAGACTGACATGTTTGACAATAGGATGTGAGCAAAACTAAAGTACATATAGTCAAGTTCATCCCAAAAAAAAAGAGAAATATTCTAACTACTTTAAAAATTAACTCCTTATTATAATTCCTGTATAACAAGATATTGAAGTATTAAATTTGAAGAAAAAGTCACTAAAGCATGACAATAACCCTTATTTTGCAATGATGTGTCACTAGACAATGAATAATTTTAACATGATGATAAGGAAGTCACACCATCTGAATCATAAAAAAAATATCCAAATTCTTGTCCAACACAAGATAAATATGTCTAACACAAATCAACATGAAATAAAAAGAAGACGAATAGAAAAAAAAAAATTTAGGTATTGGAAGTCGTTTTAAAATTTTAATTTATATTCTTAAGTACTTATCAATGATTATTGATTAACAAAGAATATGATTGAGATCAAGGAAGAGGAGGAAAATTCAGAGAACATCAATACATTGAAGAAAAGGCGAAGGGAGAAAGTTATTCATTCTGATGATAACTCTAATGAAGACCCCTAAACGATGAGAGTGCTAAGGACTTCTGATTAGTTATTATATCCTTAGTTGGATGATAGGTAATAAAAGTAGAAAGAGATAAACTTATTGTGTTAAATTTTTATATTTTGAATTGTTATGTTATAGTCCTTTAACCCTTACTCATTTGATATCTCATGTTACTTTGATGTTTGTATTAGACTTCTATTTTGCATGATCTGTTTCTTATACTTTTTGCAATTTATTACCTCTCACTATTTCAGAATGTTTCTATATTATCTTTTATTATATTAATAGGTAAGGATGCTAATATGTCAATTATTATTCGCAATTTGACCTTGCGTAATTTTTTTATTGTAAGGCTTGTGCCTCAAAATACTTTGAGGCTTATGTCTAGCCTAACAAATGAAAAGCATCTAAAAACCCACCTGCACAATTTTAAAACTTGCTACTAATCAAAACTTCTAAACCTCAAATGACTTTTACAAATATTAATCCTAATGCTTATATGTTTATTTGTCATTTGGCAGCCATACATTTGGCTTTGTCAAAGCATGTTTGATCCACCGACATTACCAGTAAGTGACACTTCAACTGAAGTGTCCTTCAATTGCATGAGTGGTCAGCCTAGTTTTTCCATCAATTGTCATATAAAGAGAGATCGATCAATAAGTCTACTTTTGGGTCATTCAGCATTCACAGATATCTAGTTCATCACACGATCCGTCATCACATGATATATGAGTACATAAACAGCTAATTCATTTGTCTCCAAGTCTTCTCAAGGAGTGCCATGGCTCAACTATCCAAAGTTGAGTTCTTTTTTCCCTGGGAAGAGTTGATAAATCCCGTGACATTCATTGTCGTAAACTACATCCCACTCAATGTAAGATTAGATTAAACCTAAAAAGCTTCTAAAAATGTTTAGTAATTTTTTAATTGTTAAGGGCATTTGAGTCGTCTAAGTTTTTTAACTCATTAGTTATTATCCAAAAAGTATAAGTGTTGTTAAGTAATTCTTGGGTGATATTACTCCCCTTTAGCTTGTGTATCCACTTTTAGACTAGTTGATAAAAAAGAGTGTGAATTTATGGCCAACAATCATGCACCTGCAAGTTGTTGGCCAACAATCATGCACCACACCCACATGATTGATGAGATATCATCCTTCCCTATGTGATCTGGTAGGTGTTTGATGAAATTGAAATCGTCTCAAGATAAAATTTAATCATCTTTAATAATTAGCATTGCCGTTTCATAGTTTTCATTCCAATTTACTGTTGTCCAGCCTTCCTACAGCCTAATAACCATCAAAATTACTCCTAAAACCTATTACTTTCCTGCCCTTTCTGCCACTATCAATGCATCGCATAATTAAAGGTTTTATAGAAATTTAGCCTCACTTGTTATAAAACAACAAAACTTCTGAAGTGATATGAAAAAAAAAATGCTAGTCACAGAAAAATGAAATCAAAATACTTCATTGATAAGAAAAAAATATATATTGGATATGTGAAATTAGAGAAGTGACATCAAGGAAATCCAGAAACTCTTAGTTCAAGAAAAAGCTAGTTTTTAGCAAAAGAATTTTGTCATTTAAAGATTAATATCGACTATAGCACAAGGTACAAACGCAACACAGTCAATGTTAGTTTTTATCATATACATGTTCATACATCACAAAGTATAATCACAAAATAGTAGGAGACAAGATATCTACCTTCTACAATTCGTTTATGAGCAGCAGAAAGAGATGACCATGATGCTGAATCTTGAATCGCCTTAAATGCGTTATATATAGGTTTACTTTGTCCTAATCTGAGTTGAAACTTGACCTTATCAGGCTGTTTATAATAAAACAAAAAGAAAAGGAGAGACTGACGTCAGTTTGAACACTATCAATCAATGAGCAAAGAATAAGCAAAGAAAAAACTCACATTAAGTAATGAAGTAATAGAAGCTATTAAACAAGTGAGATTTATGTTTAGTTAAACATACGCGTAAAAATTCCACATGGTTGGCACTCACCCTTAGGGTAGAACATTCACAAGATTGGCATTCACCCATATGCTTAAGCTTTGGATTAAAAACAAAATATACAATTGGTGTATCTGTCCCAACATAGGTCCCTTTGAGTTCGCACTCCCAACAAGTCGTACTAGAGCAAGTGATTTGATTAGGATCAACTAATTTATGCAAGTTATGGCTCCCACAAGTCTTCAACTTTCCATCGTGGTTGACCAAAACTCGGGTATCTGACTCACAAGGGATCCACCTAGTTGACTAGGTTCTTCGTGCATCATACTTAATGATACTTTTATTTGAGAGAGAGTGATGGTAGATGTGAAGAGAACTCACGTGAGTCGGAGAATGCTAAAGCACATGAGATTTGGTTTTAGTACCACATGGAATACTTGAAAATTATTTAAGTATAAAAATACCAAGTAGTTGACCCTCATAAGCTTTTTTTTTTTTTTTAATTGAAAAAAAATTTGATCACCAGTGCATCATCTTTGGCCCTCATTTGGCTCACACTTCCTAATAGCAACTATTTCACACAAATCCAACTATTTTGATCAGTCTTTAACAATTATTTTAATCATTCCAATGTTGCACATGATTAGGTTTATAGTTTGCTTATATTTTCATCCAGAGAGCTCAATATAATATTTTTATCAAACCATAATATGAAATCTTTGGACAGTAATATGATTTTGAATACCTAAACCCTCAATTTAAATGCCCATAGCATCTCATCCTTTAAAAGCCTCTTACAATTGTATTTATCAAATATACTTCTTCAAAATTTCCATAAGACCGGTCTTAAATCTCTACATTCACCTTGTTCATCAACATCACTATTCCCAAAACAACAGCAAGCACAAATCACTCAATGTCAACTGTTTAACAGCATCGCAAACCTAAAATTTAACTACCAAAAATGAATAAATATTAATTGAAGCTACCAATGTCGCCTTAGCAAAGATAACAACAATAAGGTTTAGAGAACCGGCACTAGAATCATCGTGATGGGATAAATAAAAAAATTACACGCAAAATTATCTAGGGTTGTCTTTCTTTACCAAAAGTGAAAGGGATGACACGACGGTATAGTACATGCACATCAATTGCTAGGAGTGGAAGTGTGGAACACAAAATAAACAAGATTCCACAATATATGTTTTGAAGTTACTGAATCCAAACCTTCTATGTCATCAACAATGAAAGAATTTAAAAATGAGGTGAAAACAAGCTTTTTATAAATTTTCAGCCGAGACGAAAAGGATGCAAATCAAAAGTAAAGTTTCCATAAGATTAAACCTTCAAAATGATTTCAGGTCTCCCATTCTAATATCGTACAACCAAACAACTACAAGCCGAACCTGCACAGCGTCAATAGCAGATCGAAGCTCCGACGAATCCTTCACCGCCTTAAGATGATTCACGATCCCCCACACAACCTGCAGCCTATCCACAATCCTCTCCAGCGGCTCCACCAGCTTGGGCCATGTGGGCTCCACACTCCTCTCCAGTTCCACCAGATCGCCCTCCTGCACCACCAATCAAATCAAACAAACCAACTAAAACCCTATCCCTCAACCCAAAAAACAAAATATCTTACGAGTCTCCTCAACAGCTCCCGGATTCCTGGTTGGACGTGCTTCGCCTCGACAACGTCGAAAGGCGGGAAATCGAAGTCGCTAAGAAGCGGGTTCGAGTCGAAGCTCTCCGCAGCCGAAGAAGCCATCGTTGACGAAGGGACGGCGCAGAAACCACGAGCGACAAGAGAAGTGGTGGACTTGAGCGGTCGGTGAAGGCAGAAGGTAAAGGATGAGGACCAGAGGGGGCAGGAGAAGGATTTGGAAAGGGTTTCGGCAGATAAGCGAGGGATTTGCGAGGCGGAGCGAACGCGAGCGACGGAGTGAGTGAAGGATGAAACGCTCGCTAGCAGCATGATGACGCTTATAAGCGCTAGCCTCGAACGGGTCGGAAATGGCGGGCTCATTTTCTTTGACGGCCCGGTCTCGTAGCCGTGTGGATAGAAGCGGAAAGCCGGGCCCACACGCGGATTATTTAAACTTTTTTGGCGTCGTTTCGTCCGTAGTTTAACAAATAGGATTTGTCGAACATACTGACCTGAGCTTATCAAACTCTTTTATTGATCAAAAACTCTCATGCGAATAATCGAAATTTTTCTATTGCTTTCCGCATTCATAACTGAATATTCGTTATTATATTTAATTTTATTTATTATTTTTAATTTCTCATTAATTTTTATAACGAAGACGGACTTTATGTTAAATTTCTTATTTTTAAACTATTAGGCTTCATTTTGAACTGATTTCTTAATGCTTTTTCAAGCAATTTTTAAGCACAAAAATTTTTAATTTTATATAAAAAACTACTTTTAGAAGCAGTAAGAAAGTCATCCCAAATGAAATCTTAGTCCCATATAATTGGCATGGGAAGTCATCCATGTAAAAATATAACAAAATTGGAAAAAATTTTGAAAATGGAAATTATTATTTCATAATTAGTACAAGCATTAGACCATCTCCAACCGATGTTAAACCAACATTTGTCATTTGCAAGCTGCTGCATCCGAATGTGAAAACCTGTGTTCTTCTTGCGACGTGAACAATGCGACGTCAATATTGACATCACACTGTTCACAAATGTCATTTTTACACCAGTTTTTTAGTTGGAGAAAGAATATATTTAGAATATTCTTTTAAAATGTTATGAAATAGAGTTCGGTTGGAGACGAGTTATTGTATTTTGGAATGAAAATTGAGTTTTTCGATTGGAGATGCTCTTATATAGTATTGTAACGTATTAAAATTTACATACTATAACAAATATAGTGTAAAAGAATTTGATCAGTAAAATGATGTTTTATGCTTTGAGTGCATTAGTTCAAATTATTTTAAATGAACAATTTAATGATTATTTAAGATAGTTCATATTTAAGGTTGTTTTTAATTTTATTCCTATATTATAAAACTATAATTAATCACTATATTTGATCACTCAACTCATTAAATGAAAGTTTTGGGTAAAACTCCTATAGATTAGATAGCTATAAGTGAAAGTTTTTTGCAAAGAAGAAAATAGAATGAAAATAAATATATAATAATCCTTATTTAGTTAATTCCAATTCAATAGTTTTTAAAATTTGGAGTAAATTTGAATTATATTTGTTTTAAATTAAGATGGATAATTAGTGACACTATAAATGTAGAAGTTAGTTTATTAAAATTCTAACTATGATTTGAAAGAAATTATCTATATGTATTATAAATGGAATATTTTAGAAATTATTTATTATAAAGAAAGAGTTATATATTAGGTTGATAATTAAGAATTACGAGAATTAGATATTATTAGGGATATAATTAGATGATATTATTTTATATTTCATTCCGAGAAATATGTAGATCCAAAATGGTCAAAATGCAATTATGTTAATCAACCCCTAACTAAATTCATTAGGTAGCTTAATTTATCATCCTAAGATATATTTTATGTGAGTAATTATCAAAACCATATTTTATTGATGAACAACTGTATAAATATGATCTTAAATTAGTAAATTTAATTCTGATTTTTGTCAAAATTTAACTTAAATCCCAACAAATAAATTTTTGAAGATTTTTAAATCTTTCTATTTTGATAAAGTTCATTTTAGCTTTGACATGTCACTAAAAAATCGTCTGGAACGGGCGCGTATCTCAATGCTAATCTTAATAGAAAACTTTTGAAGCTAAATTCGGTATCATCCAAACTCTAATTTCAGTAAGCTTATAGTCAAATTGAACATCTCAAGAAGATGAAGCTAATAACACCAAATTTGATTCAACTTGAGCCCATATGAGAGCAAATAAAAAAAAAACCAAACACTTTTGAAAGTTTTAAAGTGTTAATTGGATGACCAAACAATATCTAAATATGACATGATTATATCTAGTCGAATCAAGCAGCTCCACGAGACAAATCCAACAAGCCAAAGATCGTTGAATTCTGACATCATTAAGGAACTTAAATGTTTGATAAATATTATATGATCAAGGGAATCATTATGAGCCATCTGATAGAATACTCCAAATCTACCTCAAATCTTCTCCATATATATTGAGGATGTCACTCCCTAAAAATTATAAATTGTCTCTCAATCTTCATATGAGGGAGGAGAGAGAGAGAGAGAGAGAGAGAGAGAGAGAGAGAGAGAGAGAGATTTTCCCTTTTCCAGATCCCGAAAATTAGAAGCAAAATCACAGTGAACTATAACTAATCAACAGGCCATATAAAGCAATCTAAAATTTCAAATATTCTTTTATCATTAAATATTTTGCTGAATATTTAAAAGCAGTGCAATTTAAATAAATCATTAGATTGAGAGATATAATAAATAAATATCAGTTATTTTATGATTTAAATAACAATACTAAATAAATAAATAAATTAAAATTTATATCATAGAGCATTCATATGATATTTCTCGTATCCGGACATAATCTCAAAGGATTCTAGCTCCTTATGACTTCATTTTTATACTTATAGCATCATAACATATCATATGTCATTATCTTAGATAGAATCTCAAAGAATTCTGGCCCCTTATAACTCTATCAATTTCCTAACACAAAAGAAGAAAAGTGTTATAAGCTTAAATAATCTTAAAGCTTCACTCAGACACTACCGCTGACAAATCCGTGCCACCAGGTCACCACTGTTAAATCTTCCCCCAACCATCAGACCACCATTTAAAAGTTGTTAATGAGCCTTCCTCCACTGTCACCCATCATGTCACAACCCAACTCGATCATGATAGGTCTTATCATATTGAGTTATGACATGCAAATCTCAATATCTAGTTTTTGAATTATTTCAGATTTTTTGCGAATATTCATTGAAATAAACTACATAGCTACTAAAACATACAAATACTGAAAATAAACTCATCCACCATGTTTCTTTTATTTCATCAAAATTTATATCTACCATACAATACATGGCTATATGTTGAGCTACAGAACTGACTAATAAACTAGCCATGACTGTAAAAATTCAAAACAAAAGTGTTGCGTCCTGGAAAATTCGCAGCGGTAGAGAAATATAAAAATTAATGCCTTAGCTTTGTACGAATATCCAGAACACAAGCAGATGAAGAGATGAGGGTGTAGAGTTCATAAGAGACACCAGAATTTTTACGTGGAAACCCCTAATTAAGGGGGAAAAACCACGAGGCCTGGCCCAATTTGAATGAATCCACTAGTACTTGAAATTGATTACAAATGAGGCCCATCCTTAGAAGGAAGGTCTTGGCTCGAAGTAAAAAAAATACATCATATAAAATGCATTGCGTGGTGGAAGTTGGAAGAATCAATGTTTGATATGTTTGTTTGAGGTGGCAAAACCATAGTCGATGAGCAATGTAGATCGGAAGAACCATATTCGGCGGGTGATGGAGGTCGGAAGAATCGTAATCTATGAGCGACATAAGTCAGAAGGACAGTTGTATTGCGACGGAGGTCGGGAGGATCGTAGTCACCGGGTGACGGAGGTCGGAAGGACAGTTGTTGGTAGACAATGGAGGTCAGAAGGATCATAGTCGGCAGGCGACGAAGGTCGGGAGGACCGTAGTCGGCGGGCGAAGAAGGTTGAGGGGACCATAGTTAGCAGGCGACGAAGGTCGGGACGACCATAGTCGGCGAGGAATGTAGTCGACAAACGACGAAGGGCCGAAGGACCATAGTCTGCAAATGACGGAGATCAGAAGGACCGTAATTGGATGACAGTAGTTGGGAGGACTGTAGTTGGCGGACTAGCGGAAGTCCTACGGTGTTCGGCAGACTGGCAGAATTCTGATGGTGGACGTCAAACTATGAAAGTCCGACGATGGTCGGCCGGCGGATGTCCGGCGGTAGTCGGTGAACTGGTAGAAGTCCGGCGGCGGTCGGAGGATGGGTGGAAGTCCGGTGGCGATCGGCGAACTGGTGGAAGTCTGGCGGTGGTCGGCAGACTGGCGGAAGTCCGGCAGTGGTCGGCAGGAACTCGGCGATGGTCGGCAGGAATTCTGGTGGTGGTCGGCAGGAACCCCGGTGGTGGTCGGCAGGTACTCCGGTGGTGGCCGGCAGGAACCCCGGTGGTGGTCGGCAGGAACTCGGGTGGTGGTCGATGGCAAGAGAGCTCCCAAATTCCTCCCTTTCTTCTCTTCTTCTCCCTCCTCCTCCCCTCCTTCCATGTGAAGAATGAGGGCCTATTTATAGTTTTTTTAGAGTTGCATGGCTTGTAAATATGTGGATGATCAAGGGCAAAATGGGAGTGTTTGAATGGACGGCTGATATTGAATCCCTTGATCATGGACTGATCGTAAGGCATTTGGAGGCCTTAGAGATGTCGGAATTCGACGATCTTGGGCTCGTTGGATTCGTCTCGTTGAGCCGTTCGATTTGAGTATAAGCTCGTTAAAATCGAAGACCGTTTGGTATCTCAATTTGCGGTTTGAACCTTCCAACAGAGCTTCGGGTCCATGATTCGGGCCTATTTGGGCTTAGATCGAGTTGAATTTGGTGTCGTTGGGTTCGCATTTCCGAGACGCTCAGTTCGACTGTAAGTTTGCTGAAATTGGAGTTCGGGTGGTCTCCGAATTAAATTTTGAAGTTTCCTACTTGATTTTGCATCGAGATTCGCGCCGGATTAAGATAAGTTTTTGGACGACGTATCAAAAAGAATACCAAAAAATTTTACCAGTGCAAAGTTATCTGCGTTTTTAGCTAACAAAAATAAAATGTTAATAAAAATTTTGCTAAAATTGTGTATTTTTGAAAATAGAGATGTGCATAGTATGACTTGCCTTGAGACAAACAAGTTCCCAATTGGGCTGACAGAGGAAAAAGGCTTGAAGTCTCACAAATTCGAGTTGTAAATTTCTCTCTCATCTCTTTTTCCTCTAATTTCCACCCCAAGCTCTATGCTAACGAAAATCAAAAGGCAAAATGGCTTTTAAAGGAATTTTTTTTTTCATTAGTGAAAATAATTTTATAATAAAAATTGTTTAATTTTAATTTAAAATTCATCTAAATTCTTATATCTTCAAATTCGATAATCCAAAAATTACTAAAAATATTCATAAATTAGATAAGCATGTTTAAAACACTAAGATGAAATAAGTTTATAAAACGAACACCTATTGGTCCCAAAAATCCCACTTATACAAATGTGTCGATTTCTTAAGAAATTTTACGAGTGCAAAAAAAAAAGGGTAATTAAAGCATCACACTATAAATATTCAGGCGAAGACCATTTATAATTTGGACTTATAACGATTCTTGAAATAATTATTGGCTATTCTTGGACAATTAAAAAAAATTAAGAGTTTTCACACATCAACTACGGTTAGTCTGATCACCGTCGCCCAACAATGGTCCATCTAACCACCATCGCCTGCCGACTATGGTTCTTCCGACCTCCGTCGCCTGCCAACTACGGTCCCCCTGACCACTATTGCTTGACTGCAATCCTTCTGATCACTATCACTGTTGATTACGATCCTTCCGGCCTCCATCACCCGTCGACTACGATCCCTTCGTTCACAGTCTCCTGAATACAATCCTTCCAACCATCGTCTTTTGACTATGATCCCTTCGACCACCGTCACCTGACTACGATTCTTTTGACATCCGTCTCTCGCTAATTATAGGCCCTCGGACCACCGTCTCTTGATTATGGTCCTTCCAACCTCCTCCTATCGACTACGATCCTTATGACCATCATCATCATCCGACTACCACCGTGCCACCCAAACGAGCACGACAATATTCTCTTGAGAACAACTATCATGTCATTCTCTTACTATGAAATGTGCTATTTGCAATGTATATTTGTTTCATTGAGCCAACGTCCTCCTCTTAGGAGGGGCATTATTTATAATCAACTACCAACACTAGTGGATTCATTTCGATTGGACAAGACCCTGTGATTTTTGCCCTTTTTAGAGGATTCAACATAAAAACTCTAATATCTCTTATGAACATTGCACAATTCTTTCTTGTCTTCATGTGTGCTGGATTTTCGTACAAGACTAGGACGTTAAACTTTATATTTCTCTATTGTCGCAACAATGAAAAGTTCGAGATATGTTAAACCCCACATCTCAAAATGTACTAAACATTTGAATTTAAAGAATTTTCAAAATCCTTGTTGAATTTAATACAACTAATAGCCAAATAATACATATGCAAAATATTTTCAAAGGTATGGACAATAAATATTTTATGTTCTAAGATATTTAGAAAAGATGCTACAAAAATCACAATATTTTTCTCATAAAATTGAATCAATCAATAAACAAATTTGTGAAATGTATCTATTAGTCATCACTTTAACTTACGGGCAATTTCATATACAACACAAACATCTTAGCCATTTACAAACACCCTCCTACTTTTATTCAACTAAATTCCTACCCAAATCTCTCTCTCTCTCTCTCTCTCTCTCTCTCTCTCTCTCTAACCCTACTGATTATTGAAGAACACATGCCTAATTTAAGCAAAACAGTACTTAAATTGTGCTTCCCATTTGGATGACCTTCTTCCATATGTATTTCATGATGCAACAATACTTCACAGAGTTCAAATGAAACTGAGGATAAAGAAAACAAACTCCAAGGGAATTCTTTTATATTTCAAGCAGAGTTTTTAGACAATGGGTCTGTACATCAAAAGAAACAGAAGAGATCTCTATTGCATTTCTTTTTTTAAAGAAGAATCCTATTCAACTATATGCATTTTTGAGGTTTTGAACATGCCTTTAAATAAAACTAATAGCCAGGAATAAGGGCTGCCATGATTTCCTGGAGCACAAGAGCTGCATCACTGTAACAAATCTGTGCCAAAGGTATGCTCCTGCTCTTAATTGCGTCGTCCAGCTGCCAAAACACATTATAAAATAAAAACAAGCACTCTAAACCAATGAGATTGAAATAACCAGTACAAGATTCTCATATATATACTTATATTTTTTATTGTGATCAAAAGAGTTTTGGAAGATTGTTTAGCATATCAAAAGCATATGCAATCATATTTGTCACAATTCTGTTGTTACCAATTTATAAGAAATATAGAAGAGGCATTGCAATGATGAGGAAGCCTATTTGCTTTGTTCACTCAGAGTAAGGCTTCATTTGCGATGGCTTTTTAATTTTTAGACTAAAAAGTTATTTTAAGAAGCAGTACAAAAGCTGTCCCAAACGAAGCATAAAACTTTGATTGATTCATATTATGTGTGCAAAACAAAAGTACATTGCTTTAGAGACGACATTTGGATTTATAAGAACTAAGTCACTTGAAAAATCTTATTTTGTGCTAAATATTGTAAAATGTGAAGGCATAAGGTCGGACAATTTGTTTTACTTTCCACAGAGGAATGAATTACTCGGCCAAGCAAACATTTAAAACACCTGTGTGGTGAAAATAGTCAACCCTCAAATAACCTTTTCAAATGTACACACAATAGAGCTGAAGCAGAAAGCATTAATATTTCTTAAAGGCCTCATCAGAGAAATATTTGGAGAGCAGTAATTCTAATGTATTCTTACTACTTCTCTCTCAAACTACAACTCCTATGATCAATACCTTTTTATATAGAGTTGTCTACACTGAGCCTGAGAAAGGAACCTAAAACCCCATCGGTTTCCAACTACGGTCCCTTCAATCACTACAATCATCGATCACTACGGATAATTAAGTTGCATACATCAAAATAGAGCAATGGACATCTAAGTGGTATTACATTATGCCAATTGTGTCTTAAAACCTATTTTCTGTTTTTTATTTTCTAGTTGCAATTCTCCTTTAGAACTAAAAGGCGCTTAGGATAAGGTTTCATCTATTTTTTGAGTTAATATCGTATGAAGCCATTTCAATCATTTAACTTCTAACAACAAATATATAGCAATCAATCAAACAATAAAATCTCTAGTAATAAACAATACCTGAACAACTGGCTTACCAGGTAATCGCAATAGCTTCATGGTCATAACTTATAGAAACAGCTTCATCAACAATGGCTTTCTACCATACCTTTCCAACGGCAACTGCCTTACCAGATAAAGCCTCAGGCATTTCGGACCACTTGTGAGTTTTTGACAAACAAGACATGTATCTCCCCTCAACTACTATAATTAAAAAAAAAAAAAAACTTTTTCCTAAGAACTTGCATCCCTATCACCATAACACACAATTGCTAGAACCCAAAGCCTGTGTTTGGATGTTGAGAATTAGGCTTCGTTTGGGACAATTTTTGTACTATTTCCTAAAACGGTTTTTTAGTAAAAAATTTTCTAATTCAGGAAATTTTTGTATTAAAAAACTGTTTTAGAAAACAACAAAAAAGCTATCCCAAACGAAACCTTAGATTGAAAGGACATGAAATGAAAAGTATTGAAAGCACCAATCATTGGCTATAGATTCATGATCCATCCAAAAATTATTTGAATTTTATTTCATTTTCTCCCCTTTCTTTCAATCCAAACAAATTCAAATATAAGATAATAAGAAAAGGGAAAATAAAATTAGGATAATAATAAAATAGAAAAGAGAAGTTGTACTGACTATTACAATACCCTGATATGCATTTCTATGAATAATTTTTATAAAAAAGAAATATTATCAAAATGATGTTTTCTTGGCACTTCTCAAATTTATGCATAGTTATTGAAAGAAATGTTGCTGAGCTCATGTTTAATTCATAGACAATAGATTGATAACACGCTTTGAAGAAAGTTCAGAAAATTTGAAAAAGCAAATGCTGAAATTTAAGAAGAGAAAGGAAGTCAAATAGATTGTATTATTGTTCTGGATGGAATAAAGAATTCCAACGCCAGATTCAGGACAGTGGGATGTTAATGAAGCTTTGAAAGTCCGCAGTTGAATATATTATTTAGTTGTTAGCTCAGCTGCTTTCATAAATAAAACATTATGAACAATGCTCTGTAAATATAATAGGAAGAAGAAAGAAAGCGAAAGACATGCAACCAAAATATCTATTTACCATGAACACAAAGCAAAAATACTATTTTTTTATCAATAATTTGGAGTTCTTAGGCTAGAAAGTGAAACTGAACGTTACCTCTTCCAAGTATTGGAACAAACTGTTAGCAAGGTCAGTAAGAGTCCTCTTTAGTTCATCGGCAGAACTTGAGATGACACGGTTGAGATCACAATACAAGAAAGTTGATTTCAGACAGATTTCTCTTCTGATTAGCTCCCACCATATATCATCATCTTCTTCATTAGTCAAATCATCCTCCATTGATAGGAGATCGAAAGCACACTTCTGGATTCTAAAGACACAACCTTTGGCTTCCTGGTTCTCCATTGCTGAACGTTACAACAACACATCAGCAACAAGGATAGGTTGTCCCTATTTACTATGTGCACAATTCAACAATGGAGAAAGAAACATCGTCAACAATACAGCAAGCTAACTGCTGTCTGAAATAAGAAACAGAGAGTACAGTAAGCCTCAAATTAAGGCTTCATTTGAGACGACTTTTTTATTGCTTCTTCAAACAGCTTTCTAGTATAAAAATTAAAATTTTTATATTAAAAAGCTGCTTTAAAGAAGCAGTAAGAAAGCCATCCCAAATAGGACTTAAGCTTATTACAGCTATTTTTGACTTGAAAGGAAGTGAAGGAAATTAAAACAAATTCCAACAACTTATGGGTTAATTCGGAATATGCAACCATTCATTTAAGCACTTCAAACACTTCTTCATTTCTTTTCACTCAAATTCATAGCATCCAAACACAGCCATTGAAGCCATTCTTATATATCTAATATCACCAAATGGCTGATGGAGGATCAATCAATGTAAGACTGTTAGGAAAGGGATCAACAAGTTGCCTTTGTTGTTCCTTCTATTTCCTTCCAGTTACATTGCAACAGAATAATTTGGGCGCTGGGAATTTCGGCTATTTAAAAGCTGAAGTTTATTGTTGTAGATTCATAATAATCAACCACTAAATTCTGGGAATTTATTTCATTTTCTTTATTTCCCTTCAATCCAAACAAAGCATTAATGTCCTATTATTGTTCTTATAATAATAGATATAATTATTCTCTTTTTTAACAAATAATTGTAAATTAAGCTCGTGATTATGATGTGAATCAGAGCAAAAAATAAGAAAATTAAAAATACCAAGTCTTCGTATCAGTTCCAAGCTTAGAACTCAAATTAAATAGAAGGAAAGAAAATCTTCTATAAATTCAAATACTTAATTAAAATTGCAATGGCATCGCTTTTAAGAAGTTTTGCTTGTTTATCAACTGTGAACTGAAAAACTAACAGCACCATTATTAGACGATAAATAAAAAAAAGAAACAAAAAAAAATCATAAAGAAACACAGATAACAAATTTCAAGACAAAAGAAAAACATTTTACCTGATAAAAGCAGCTCTGTACAAAAAAACTTAAAATTCCAAACCCACAAAAGAAGGAATGATTACAGATACCGACAAAAAATAGGAAAAGAAGGGTTTTTTTTTTTTTCTTTTCCAAAACCAAATGCAAAGTTCTTGATTTCTTTCTTGCATAAATGAAAGAGTTGAGCTTCAAACAAGAAACCAATGAAAGGTTTCTCAAAGGCGACAGAGAAACAGAAACGAAGATAGAAGAAGAAAATTTGACCTCCGTTTCCTCGGCCAAAAGCGCGTACAGGAAGCGATCGATCACCTTGAGTACTTCTTTTTGTTCAGATGATCTTCCTTATGATAATGGAATCGCTGCCTCCAATTGCCAAGGAGCGCAAGCCTGAAACTAGGAGTACAAATAGTAAGGAAACCGCTCATGACCTGTAAATGTAAATAAGCTCTTTTTCCGCACTGGCTGAAAATAGAGGAGAGATGAATTGGCAGAGATTGAGGACAGGTGTAGGGCTGTAAATAAACCACTTGAGTCCAGCCTTGTGTTGCTCAAATTAGCTTTGTCATATTTATTTATTATTTTTTATTGAATTTTGTAATAATTAGACTTTAATTAAATTTAATTAATTGTATATGGATGCTAATAATTTAAAAAATAATCTTATTATTAATAAGATACTAAATTTTTTAATCAAAATTATAATAGTTAACTAAATATTACTTCTAATATATATAAATGCTTGATATTTTAAACTTGTTGAAAAATTAATGATACAAATTGATATATCATAAAAAATTATCTTGATATGGCACTAATCTCGAAGTAAAATCGTAGGCTTCCTTCTCCACAATAAGTCTTCGTCTTCCCAGAATCCTCACACAACAGTTTTCCTCAGTTTCATACTCCCAGCGATAAAAACGTGTTGATTTTGGCACCGACAAATTGAAATGATGTTTTCCTTTACTATATCTTTGATGAGCTTTTTCTCATTTAGTTTTTTATATAATGATTGCCCACTTTAAAAAAATAAGATTGGATCTGCCTCTAATTGAAAGACTGATATTTTATGCGACCAAATAATCTAAGGTGATTCTCTAATCTTATTATTATCTACCACTGGAGCAACTCTACTCTTTTCATATATGCTCATTTTGCATTCTATCTCTAAGTATAAAATCACTCATTCACAATTAACTTAATTAATTGATAAATTAAGTACATTTATAGCTAGAGCTACAAATTTGAGCTTATAATTAATTAATTAATCCAGCACAAATTTAACCTGAGCCCAATTCAACGTGCTAGGTCACGGACTTAAATGCGACTTTGAGAACATAGGCAATGAAATTATAAAAATAATTAGAAATTTGAGAGAGAGAGAGAGAGTAATAATAATTATAAATAAGTTTTTTTTTTTATAATTTACTAATCATGTTTTTTTTATTTAATATATTTTATTAGACCATTTAATAATAATTTTTTTAATTAGTAAACTCATGAACTGAAAAGTCAAATTTGAATTTGAAAGCATGACACATTAATTAATTTATCAGTCATTTTCTAGTGGAGATGAGTCAACTAATTATATTATTAGGTAGAATCAAGATTATTATTTTGTGAGTTAGGTTTTAGTTTTTGTGATTTATTTTATATTTCTAAATGTTAAATCACTATAATAATAATATAAAGAATACTATATATTATAGATCTCAATAAATTATGAATTATGCTAATATAATAATTAATTATCATATAATCTATAATATAACACAATTATCCATTAAATAGTATGCTTTGTCGATTCGTTTCATTTGACTATAAGTTTATTGAAATTAAATTTAAAAAGATCTTAAATTTAATTTTAAATGTTTTTAATATCAAACAATGTATCAAAGTGTGCAAATCAAATGAATTTCTTAAAGACATGTTAACCTCCATTGATAAGCAAGAAACCCCCCTCAAATCATGGTCAAAATCTTAAAAAATCTGCTTAAATCCCATTGAAATCCGGCTTACCTATAGTTTGGTGCCAATGGCATCTTCTCGTGGTATTTCTATGTAAATCCCTTTTTGATCGTACTCAGTTCTCAGTCCTCCGATCGGAAGTAGAGTTACGTCCGGTCGGAGCTAAAATCGCGGCAAAAAATAAGAAATACCGAGCAAATAGCGAGCAATACCAAACAATAACGAGGAATACCATCATGTGAAGCCCCAATATCGAGATATACCGAGCAATACCGAGTATTGCTCGGTATAGCTCGGTATAACTCGGTATTGGGTCTTCACATGATGATATTCCTCATTATTACCAAATAATACCTAGCAAATACCGAGTTTTTATGCGGGATTTTAGTGCCAACCGGACGTTCCTATATGTACGTTCACCGGACCAAATAAAAGTTCCAGTTGAAGGGAGGCGAACAGGCTTTTATTTCGCTCTTGGACACACGAGAGCCTCCGAATCATGTTCTTATCTCTTTGTTTGGTTGAAAAAGCGTTGAGTTTTGTTAATTTCTGAAATTTTAGTTTTGAAATCGAACATGTCATTATGAATGATATATCACATCGGGAGGTGAACATATCATTCTCTAATGGTTCATATTACAAAACTTTTAATTCATCCTGATTTTCATAGTGAAACTCAGAGAAGGACAGCATATGCCCCCGAAGGATTGAAGTGATGTTTGATCGAGTGTTTGACTATAATAATTTAGATAAGATATCATTAATTTTATAATCAAATTCATGATGATAGAACAACATATATTCCCGAGGAAAGAAGATATCATCTACTATTAATTAATTGAATATGACGATAATGATCGTTGATTTCAATTTTCCCAAATATAATTAATTAAGGTTTTGAGCAATTGATTTTGAAAATTTGATATGGGTTCTAAATCTACTACGAGCGCAATCCCTCGTAGTTAATAACATCATAGGAAAGTTGAATTTTCTATGAATACTCTTTATTAAAATAAGAATAGAAATTTCATTTTGAATTTTTAAAGATTGTTCTCAAAGGAGTGTGGCTTGAATTTCAACTAGGATTGGATCAAAAATGAATAGTTATTTCTGAGGTCAATGTCAGAGAATTAAGAGGTGTTTTGGGATTCTGAAACACTTCAGAAACACCCATAATACCCTTAGTGTTGGGCTTGATTGCTTGAATTCTGGATTGAAGAGAATTTTTAATTTGAATTGTCAATTTTATTAGAAAATTGTGATTCAATTCTCAGAGGTTGGTGTCTTATAGTATGAACCTGCCTCAGAATCTAATATAGCAAATTTGAGACTTTATATATTTTATTCATTTTCATTTTTCTTTTATTGAAATGTAACTATATCTATACTTATTTGCCCGAAATTTGTGATTTTGAGGAGTTTTGAATGTTGGAGGAAGTTCTGTTTTGTTGAATGCACTAGGAGCTATTAGTGTCTGAATTTTTAAACGTTTGATGTAATAAATATTTAAGATTTATAAGAGTATGTTTTTTGATATGCAAGTACAGGAAGTCATAACAACATGAATTCTTATATCAGTTTCTAATGAGAGACATAAGGGCCTTAAAGAAATTTATTATTTTCTACTCTGATATATGAAATACTTATTTATTTACTTTTAGTACAAAGCCTACTTAATTTCTATTATCTATCAGCACTACACTGTTTAGCACAACTGCCTACTATTTCCTACTTTTAATTCATTAAATGTATAATGAATTAATTATTGAAAATTTAAATCGATAGATATGACCTACTAAGCAGTGCTGAATCATATATATTATGCATTCTATCTCAGGTCAGGTCAGGGAAAGGAATCAGTTGAGTAGCTGAAGTTTCCGGTTTTGATGTTCTTAGTTGTGAAGAATTTTCTTGTTGTTTTTAGATTTTGTAGAATCATGGCTATTCTCTGTTTTGTTTTATTCAAGCATGTAGCCATGCAATATAGCATTTTTTTTGGTATATGCATTTTGAAGATGAATGAAAAGTTAGAGAAATTGTGGATGAGTTACTTTTTATTCCTTGGAAGTTAATTAGCTGTTTTGTTGTATATATTATTAAATATGGAAATATGAAGAGTTCTTCAAAATTAGATTTCGTGCTTGGTCTGTCATCATCCAACACGATATGACTCGTTCTATATGTAGATTATATTGAGTTAGGTTGCAGCAATTATTGACAACAAAGTTGGCAAGTGTTAACTTTTTTCGACGACATGAATTGATTTTTTAAGTGATGGAGTATGTTAGCATGGTTAGTGGTTAAGTGCGAGAGATGGTAATTGGGTAATATGATTGGGAGAATCATAGTCAGACAATAGTGGTTGGGAGAATGTGATCGGGTGACAGTGATCGAACAATTGTGGTTATAAGACGAAGATTAGGAGAAAGAAAATGCTCGTTAGCTGTGATTATCAGTGTTGAACATTGGGTGGAGCTTTAGTTTTGTTTGGTCAGTTTAAGCTTTTCTATTTTTATTTTTAAAAGTTCTTTTAACAACTATAATTTCAAAAATACTTTTTAAAAAAATAGCTTTTTAGAAATAAAATTTTAAAACAACGTGAAAAGCTCTCTTCCAAGCATACATTATTTCTTACCAATTATTTTTTTTTACCATAAAAACAATGAAAAAGCTGCTCCAAATAAAGCCTTTGTTTTTCAAATCTCTAAATTCCATCAAATTTTAATTCAATATTCAAGCCTCTTAACATGGAAAATGATAGTTTATTTGTAATTTTCAAGAGCGACATTCTAATAAATTTAGAAAAAAAAAAAACCTCAAGACATTTCATCGAACAACTCATACATATTTTTCTTTGAACAGAGACGATTCTCTCATTTAGATGGCTTAATGAGCTCGTAATTGAGTGATTATGGTTTGTTAAAATGCTCATTTTAACTATAATTACACAAGGCTCGAAGATCATTTAATCTTTCAATTAATGTTAAATATTTTTTGACTATATTTCAAATATTTGATTTAAATTCATTTGAACTCTGATCGAAACACTTCATGCCATTGAACTCATCATGATGCTCAATTCAGCTATAAAATTACTAAACTTGAAGTTTATATGAACCTAAATTTAATTCTAAAAATTTTGAATACAAAAATTACATCAGAATTCTTATTTAATTGAGTGAATTTTATAACTATCATATCACAAATTAAATTGACTTTATTATTGTTGCATCCTGGAATATTCACGGCGGTAGAGAAATATAAAGTTTAACGTCTTAGCCTTGTATGAATATCCATCACATAATCAAATAAAAAGAGGGTGAAATATTCATAAGAGACATCAAAATTTTTACGTGGAAAATCCTGAAAAGAGGAAGAAACCATGTGGTCTGACCCAGTTTGAATGAATCCACTATTATTTGCACTCGATTACAAATGAAGCCCTTCCTTAGGGGTAGGCCTTGGCTTGATGTAATAAATATACATCATATAAAATCCATTACATGATGAAACTTGAAAGAATCACTATTGAAGTGTTCGTTTGGTGGGCAGGATCATAGTCGGCGAGTGATTGTAGTCGGGTGATAGTGGTTGGAATGACTGTTGTCTTGCGACGGGGGTCGGAAGGACCGTAGTCGGCAGACGATGGAGGTCAGAAAGATCGTTGTATGGCGACGAAGTTTAAAGGACCGTAGTTGACAGACGACACTAGTTAGAAAGACCATTGTCGGAGGGCGATGGAGGTCAAATTGGTTGTAGTCGGCGGGTGACAGTGGTTAGAAAGATTGTTGTCTGCAACAGAGGTCGGAAGGACTATAGTCGGAGGGCAACGGAGGTCCATTGTCAATTGGTGGTCGTGCAAAAGTCCGATGTTAGTTGGTGGCCGGCATAAAACTGACATCAGGATGCAAATGGGTAGAAGTCCGATGTTAGTTGGTAGCCAGGCAGAAGTACTCCGACGATGGACAGAAGTTCCACATCGGGTAGAAGTCTGACGACTGGGAGAAGTCCGGCAACAGGCAGAAGTTCGGCGATGGACAAAAGTTTGGCGTCGGGTAGAAGTCCGACGAAAGTCCAGGGATGGGCAGAAGTCCGGTGACTAGCGGAAGTTTGGTGTTGGGCGGAAGTCCGGCATCGAGTAGAAATATGTCAAAGGGCGGAAGTCTGATGACGGGCATAAGTCTAGTGTTGTGTAAAAATTCGGCAACGGGTGGAAGTCCGGCGATGGACGGAAGTTCGAGGATGGGCGAACGTCTAGTGTCGGGTAAAAATCTGGAGACAGGTGGCAGCCAGGAGGTGGTCGAGGAGGAGCTTGTTGGCAAGAGAACTCTTCTTTCTCTTCCTTAGGAGGAAGATCAAGGATAACTTGGGAGTGGTTTGAATGGAAGGCTGATGTGAATTCCCTCGATCATGGACCATTTATTTTGTATTTGAATGTTTTAATGATATCAGAATTTGACGATCTTGGGCTCGTTGGATTCATCTCGTCGAGCTGCTTGATTTGACTATAAGTTTGTCACGTTTGAAAACTGTTTGGTAACCCAAATTATGGATTGAACCTTTCAAATGAGCTTCAGGACTTTGATTTGAACTCATTTTGGTTCGGGTTGAGTTAAATTTGGTGTCGTTGGGTTTGTATTTTCGAGACATTTAGTTTGACTTTAAGTTTGTTGAAATCAGAGTTCAGATGATCTCCGATTTAATTTTTGAAGTTTCAACTTGATTTTGCTTCGAGACCCATGCGCGATCAACATAATTTTTTTGATGATATATCAATTATGACTCGAACAACACATCATTCCTTTAGATCATACATACACCATTACAATCCTTTGTAGCTAATATAAACATTTTCCACAAGAAAACAAGAAGCTAAGTTTGGGAGCTGTAAAAATTTCACAAAGTTTTATAAATGAAATCCCAGGTTAAAGAGAATCATTTCAGACAACTTAAGGAAAACACATTCCTCAAGTTCATCAGGCACAAATCGCCTAACGCTAATTACATTACAGGAATCTCAACTAAAGCTTCGCTTATGAAAGTGGGAAAAACAATTGAGAAGACCAAAAATATCAAAGCCTGAGACGAAACATCTTCCAGATAGCTGCATCTAACAGTGTACCATCAATACTTCAGATCCAAGAAAATAGAGGAACTGCTGAAGTGGCAAGAAGCAACAAGCACAGCAGCAAGAGCTAAATTAGTCCTCATTCTTTCACCCTACGAAAAAATGAGGCCAATCTTCTTAGCAAAATCATCTTCATCATCATCTTCATCTTCTTCTTCATCATCTAAATTCATTGGGTCCATATTTTCATAATCTTCTGTCTTGTAATCTCCACCATCGATTGTCTCATAATCATATTCTCCATCTCTTTGATCAGTGTAATCTAGCTCATCCTCTTCAGCAGCATCTCTGGCTTCTGTTTCATCTTCTGCAGCTTGCTTCTCGTAAGTTATTTGTTCAACATCCGCAGGAATATGAACTACTTCCTCTTCAATTTCTCCCTCTTCTTCCACCATTGTTGCTGCAGCGGGATCTTCAAGATTAGTGATGACTTTAGTCCATTCCAAACTGGCTTCAAATGCATCCTGTGACCGCAATTCTGGCACTGGGGCTGCTTCAGATGCAGAAGAACCAACTTCAATTGCCCCAATTGCTTTTCTATCATTGCTGACACCTGAGATTGCATCATTGTCAGGCCTGACTTCTCTATTCCTCTTCAAGGACTTCATTCCATTATGCTCCAGGGATGAAGTAGATTTAACATTCTTGGATGATTGGCCTTCAGAACTTACATCAGGTTTTGCACCTTTCAACTCCGCAAGACTTCTTGGACCAGCAAAATCTAGAGGATCCACACTATCTCTTGATTTCTGTTGGCTACCTATGTTTCTAGCATTGCTAGTGAAGTCCTCAATTGGCCTCCGACTTAATCTCTCTCCAAGTCTTCTCTGCAGACTCGATGTCCTCACTGGTGATAGATTGCCTCTTTGCCTTCCCCTACCTCCTCCACCCTGTAAATCAGAGGCAATTTCAGGAGAAGATGGCTTGGAAAGAGTTATTCTACCTCTCAAACGACTGCTAATGGTGCTTTCAGGAGGAAGTAGTCGTTGATCCCTGTAGGAGTTAGGAGGGTGCCTATCCTGCATTTTCTGTTCATGCCTCCCGTAGGGCTTACTTTCAGAATCAGAAATGGTAGCAGATAAAGAACTATTTAGCCTTCTTTGTTTCATTAGCCTATAACGAAGATCTGTTTCATCCATCCCATCAGGACTCCTGAGCTTGTGTGCGGCGGATCTTCTTACAGGCAATATTGGTTTCTCCTTAATCCTCTCGGATACAGAAAAATTCCCATGTTGGTCTCCATCAATGCCATGCTGCACTTTTCCATAATGCCGAAACTCACTAGCAGTAGATTCAGGATCACACTGATGCTGCTGGCCATAGCCATCTCCATGGCTCATATTTCTTCCCCCTTGAATGGATCCACTTCTAAAGCCATCTTTATCATGCAGGTAATCCGCAACCTTTACAACATTATTAACGAGAACATCAAATCCAGGGGAAAACTCTCTGATGACTTCAACTCCCATGTCATTCTTGTACCGGGAAGATTGAATTTGTTGATTTAATGGCCTCTTCGATTTGGTGCCAACAACTCCAGAAGGTTCTCCCAAAATTTCACCAGCTTCATGCTCATTTGAATGATTTCCATCAGATTGAACATGAAAACTCGAAGGCCTAAGAAGGCTGGTGCTACTGCTTCTATGCACCTTAGCATTTTCCAATGCTATGCTGCTTTCTACTGATGAAGATGCACCAGTAACTTGCTTTCCAGCATTCTTTGATGCCTTAGGAAAGTTCTGCTGATTATCATATTCCTTCAATTTCCAAGCATCTTTTCTGGTTGTATCCAACTGAGCCGTAACTGGTACAGAAGCCTTTGCAGTCTGCTTTGTCACAGAATTACCTGCAGGTTGCGGTCCATGCACAAAAGGACACTTATCGCCTTTCAAACAGGCACCTTTCTGGAAATAATAACAAGGAACATTGTTTCTGCTCAAATTATAAGCAGGTAAGCTCGCCATTGGTAACTGCATGGGTGTGGGCGCTAGTGAAGGAGCCATATTTGATCCTGAAGTAGCCACAGGATTTCCGAATGGTACATCAAGCGGCTGAAAGGAGGAAAATAATTACATTTCTTAATAAATGAACCATACAACATTATGACTAAGGTTTCGTTTGGGACAACTTTCTTTTTGCTTCTTAAAATGACTTTTTAGTTAAAAAAATTATTTTTGTACTAAAAAGCCGCTTTAAGAAGCAGTAAGAAAGCTGTCCCAAACAAAGCCTAAGTGAAAAAACAGCTTCATTTCCAACTCTGTTGAGCAAACAAGCAAAATTTTAGGTTCAAGCAAAAAAAAAAAAAGAGAAGGAAATGTAGCCATCTTTTTTGAAGACTAATCCTAATATGAATGTTCAACATAATAAAAATCATTATTGCTTTCATGAAATGAAGGGAACAAGAGAAGAAAAAACTAACCGGATGGCGGAATAAGCATTTTGGATTCAAGCAGTTTCCACTAAACCAGAATTTGCAGTCTCTTGGGTTAATTCTGGCACCCTCACTGTGGCGATACTCACATTCACTTCCCTGTAAGCACAATAGCCGTCATTACATCCAGTTTTGAACAAGTTTAAAAAGATAAGCACAGCCACGAAGCGAAAAACCATAGGCACATCCATGAGTGAAAAACCATAGGCATGACGATAAGAAGGATATAATCAGAATGTTATTATGCATGAAGTATATCAATTCTTAGAAGCACAATCAGAATGACGTAGCTAGGTTATTGATAGGAACAATTTTGATAGTGATAACGCAGTAATTAGGTTGAAAGCCAAGCCAAGCCAAGTCAGTAACTTACTGACAGGGTAAGCTCGTGCCACAGCAATTATTTAACAAGAATTAGAATTACAAATCAGGGCAATTCATTTAGCAGTAATCAATTCTGTGAAGTTTTCTATATGTCTTAAGATCTCAAAATGGAAAAATTATGAAGTTATCAAAAATTCATTCCCATATTTTCTGACATGAAATTCAGTTCTGATTTTAAAGAATCCTCTTGTTCTAGCAGCTGGACAATGATGAGTGCAGCCAACCGTTCAGTTTATATCCTTTGGAACGTCTGTATGGCAACCAGGGGGTATTGGTTCTGATGGTTATGCTAACTGTAAATATTAATTTTACTAATGTCCACGTGTCAACCGGTTCTTCCATGGATGGCCTTTGGACATGGAGTGAATTCACTGGCTGGGTGCGGTAATAAGACAGCTGGTTCAGCTTATGATCACCTGAGTCCAGAAGGATTGCTTTCTTTCTAGTTTTCCTTTTGTTTTTTTTACTATAACTTCTCTGTTTGGTTTGATCTTCTTTTGTTATCTTGTGATTTCTTTTGTAACCTTTTTTCATTTATAAAATGGGTTTAGCCCAAAAATTTCCCAAAAAAAAAAAAAAAAGACTTACAAATCTAAAACAAAAATTATTAGTCAAGCACGTAACAGCATGATTATAACGAAAGATAATGTTCTTAGAAATGATTCACACGAGGCAATAAATGAAGAAAAAAATATAACACATAAAAAATCTAGCAATTGGTTGGCTTTTTAATTTTAGAAAGAAACACAACCAAACAGGAAGGAATATATAGATAGGAATCTATAAATATGCCTTCAATTCTTTTCATAAGGTCTTCTAGGAAGTTTTTACAAAGCAACAACCGCACATTTACCTTAACAGACCCTTTTATACCATAAATTCTACTACTATTTGTCACTTCCTTTTGTTATTAAATAATCTCAATTATTTTCATTCCTTCAATCATAATCAAATGATGTCCCTCCTTTATTGAAGAAATGCAAAAGATGCCCCTCCTTTATTGAAGAAATGCCGAAATTTTGCTGTTACAATCTTCAAATGCTATGAAAACCAACAAACAGAAGGGGCATAATGTTCTGAGTGAGAAGAAATAATTAATGGTGATTGAATCTGTATCTTTAATAGTCCTAAATATATCATCTGACTATATAATTTTCTGTCGAACTAAAGAAGGATTTAAAAAAAAACATAACAGGAAAAGTGAAACCCTATATAGAGATGTGGAAAATAAAGAATAAAATTTCCATAAAAATTTTGCAACTCCAGTTGTCCTACAAAGCATTTTATTTTTGTTAATCAGTTCTCTCAATTATTTTCATACTTGTCAACGACGAATGATGCACCACAGTACAGAGTTCACAGTACAGAGTTCCCTGTAGAATCCTGGCGCATAGTGCACGGCATGCGCCATTTTGAACATGACTCAAAATAAGAAATAATTAAAATGAAATAGAATAATAAGCATATAAAATAAAGTAAAATTTTATTATATAGGTAGGCATTTTAATGAAGCTCATGACTCAAAATTCTTCAAATTTGCTTGGTATATCATGAAGATATTAGTTAGGATTGAGGGAGGAATTTTAATAACTTTGCATGTAAAGTATAATGAGATGATCAAACCCATGTTTAACTAAAGCACATAAAAGTTGCTGCTAATAAAAGTTATAAAATAGAAAAATACACTTTAACTACATAGATATTTTCCTTCATTCCTAGTCTCAGCCTTTGTTTCTCTACTTGGCATTTCCCCTATGCTTATAATCTACTTGTAGTAAGTGCATTTTCCCTAAACTTATTATCTAAATAAAAAATGCATGTTGATCAAAATTGATCGACCAAAGAAAGAAGAAGGAGATCATTTACCTAACAATAACCCTTTACTTCGGAGAAATCAGATGAATCAACTATCGAAAGAGACGACCAAGTACATGATACCTCTTAATTCCGTAACGGACGAAGACAGGCATAATAACCGAGACAAACAAGGAGCGGCGGAAGGAAGGAATACGAGAGACGGACCACATCTAAAATTGTGGAATCGGGTGCGTTCATGAGGATTCAAGGCTTCGACTACTTGAGGACTAGTTTAGCAGCAGCTAATAAATCAATAACTAATAACCTAAAATTCATTACAACAACAACAACATCAAGCCTTTATCCCACTACGTGGGGTCGGCTACATGAATCCTTTTTCTCCATTGTGTCCTATTAAAAGTCAAAAAATAAAATTGTGCACGTCATGCGCCATGTTGCTGGCATCGTAGGTGCGCCATGCCACGCCACGCCACGCCGCACCTTGCGCAATGGCGCATGCCACTCTGCGCCATTGACAAGTAAGGTTATTTTCAATCTCCTCTAGCTGAATTTTGACAAAGATTTTCCTTAGTTTAAGAAATCCAGCATCCTTGTAGTAACCTTCTTCAAATGCTAAATGAACAAACGCATCCACACATACAATATATACAAACAGAGCATAAGGGATCATGTAAGGAGATGGGAGACGTGATGTACGAAGATTAAATCATCATTTATAATAGTCTTGACTATTTCTTCAGATCATATAATGCACTATTAACAAAAGAGTTGACCTTAACATGAAAGTTGGAACCAAAGATAGAGAAGAGGTGGAAAATGAAGGATAATTTGGTGTAGGATTTTTAAATTTCAATCCTTTCATCCACCATCTGCTGTCAAGACTTGACCCTCACATAATTTCTTGATTTTTTAATAAATGTGATTGAGTTCAATAAGGTTGAGAAAGTTCACGTGGAACTAAAGTACGCTACATGAATATAACATCAAGAACTCCTAGAGTTAGAGATCCTCACTTGAAGTTGACATGTTGGTGTTACCCAAATTCTGATTGGGATCCTAATAGTTAAATTTCTTTAGATCTTAAGGGCTGCCAAAGCATCAGTCATTTGACATGCAATTTTTTGTTTCATTTGATAAATTACCAATTAAGTGTCAAATCAAGAATGCACGTAAGAACTAAATTCCATGGGTCATATGCAAATTTACATGCATATTCAATGCCTATCCTACTAATCTAAGAGATTAAAACTTCATTTGAGACGGCTTTCTTACTGCTTCTTAAAACAACTTTCTAGTATAAAAATTAAGAAGTAATAAAAAAGTCGTCCCAAACGAAGCCTAAGATTAAGCATTTCTGTGACATCTCAGTCAAAACTATATGTGAATCAACATGTGCATACTATGGCAGTCAATGACTTTCAAGAAAAAAAGGCTACATGGAAGCTACTTCCAGAAAGGATATAAATTATGATCTATAATATTAAATTCACTTAGAGAAACTGATGATAACCAAATAAAGAAATTAGAGGACTAATTATCACATAACTAGACCCACTCAAAGCAAAAAATGTATCATCATCAATATCATCCTATCTTATCCCAACTATTTCGAGATCTACTTCATGAATCATCATTTTTTCATTTATTCTTATTGAGTATTGTATGAGGGGTTAAACCTATTATGCGTAAAAACTATGAACAACTTCTAAACATTTTACCTTAAGTCTATCATTTTACTTTGTAATCCTTCTTAGGTTTATCATTTTACTTTGTAATCCATTGGCTACATTTTTCACTTGTCATTGTAAATGATCAAATTACTAAAGTCTTTTTTCAACTACCTTAATATTAATAGCTGCTACTCTCACCGTCCTTAGAATATATTCATTTCATAGATTCATTTTTTTGCTGCATATCCATCTGAACATTTTTAGTTCCAAAATGCTCCACCTTGCTATCAAATATTCTACGATCTAGCATTCAAAATAATACAACATAGTTGCTCTGATTGCAACATCATCACCATTAGCATTATTCCAAGAATCTTGAGTCAAATTTATGAATCCCCATATTTAACTTGTTTATGTTAAGAGTGGCCTGAGGTGTTAACTTATTCTTCATTTTGAACAATATTTATCCATATTACCTTAGCTCAATCCCCTCACCTTAATCTCATTACCCCAGTTTTATCTACTCGTCAAATAAAGGTATTTTATACACTTTGTTTTGCATGTTCAAACCACATAAATCTATTTTCAATTACCTTATCATCAATGTCACTCAAATTATTCCTATGCTATAATCATTCCTTAATTTTATACTTTCTAGTTTGGGCACACATCCATTTTAACATTCTCATTTCCGACTAATTTTAGTTTTATTAAATTCACATTTAAGACTCCATATTCTCTTATAAACATAAAAATATTGAGGCACTATCATTTTAACCCCCTAGACTCAACTCTATAAGTTATATTATCATCTACATCCCCATAATTCTATATAATATCTCAAAAATACTTAAGCTCATCACACTTAGAAGTCACTTTATGTTCTAATAAAAATTAAAATTCGTTAATATCAAACTCACTAAGATTATTTATCTTCTACACAATATTTGTTCTACTAATCCTAATTTGTTATCTTCTAACATTTTCTTCAATTTCAAGTTTTTATGTATTTTAACAAATGTCTTATCAATTAGAAATTTTCTACTAAGAAAAGCACACATCAATGTACCTCACTTTGAATATCCTTTGCATGCATCTTCATAACTAACCAAAAAAAAAGATATAGATTTAATGTTTATCATTGATGTAATCCAATTGTAATAGAAAACTCTTTAGTTACTCTACAAAGATTTCTAAAACTAATAAACATCTCATCATATGTGTTTTCACATAAGTCACCACAAAATTGAAAGAATGAAAGATGTCATCACTCATTGATCCCCAGAGAAGAAAATAATAATAATCATACGCTCAATCAAGCTACAGGAAAAAAAAATCATCCCAACCATCAAAATCCCAGCTCTGAAGCCTAGAAGTGATCTAAGGTGAAAATCACAAAAAAAAATTCAATAAAAGCCAAAAAAGATGAACTATTTTGCAAAATATAAAAGAAAGCACCACTAAATAAACTCATCTGAAAGTCAACCCTTTAAAACGTAGCAACCATCGTGTAGCAAAGAAAATTTTCTTCCAATTTTCCTTGCAGTGCTACCTATGAGTTCCTAAATTTTAACAAACACATAACATGAAAAATATCAACAATCAAATCAAAAGTTTCCTAAATCCGACAGACAGTGACATAAATTTCCAAAAAAGAAAAAGAAAACAGACTGTGGCATAATATCGCAAAAAGCTTATCTAGCAAAATATTACCCTCAAAATCGGTGATCAGAAACAATAGACATCAATCAATAAGGCAATCAGATAAGCAACCCTGAAAAATCCCAAATCAACTGTAAATAACACAGCAAAACCCACATATCAAACCAAAACCTAATCCTAACTACAGATCAGGCTAACCTACCCTAGCTACACCTTGAAAACTCTAGCCCCTTCCCTCTTTTCGCATCCGAACCAGTAAAATCCATGCCCATCCCTACATTTCAAACAAGAACCGCAGCTAAAATTATCTGTTTTACATCATGAAAAACCGAAAATAGTAAAAGCAAGGCAACGAAAACAGTAACAAAGTAACCATAACGAAAAGAAACCTTTTTGCAAGTCAGAGGCGAGGCGAGAAAGTAAACGCAATCAGTATTCCGTTTAACCGCTTCTTCCTCCCTCGTCAAAGGACGTGGATCGCTCCGCCCGCCGCCAGATTCCATCGCCCACTACGCCGGCACTCCGATATCGCAGAAGACAGATCCAATCCACAGAAACGATCACCGCAAAGGTAAATCGACAGCAGAAGCTGCGATAGCGGCGGATAAATTAATGGACTTCTGGCCTTGGCAAGATAAAACTAATGGAGATTGAAGGGCCTTTTAGAAAAATTTGGGATCAAATAAGGGTATTTTAGGGAATACACTCTCTGGGAAGAGCATTATCGTTCACTGCAGAGCTGCAGTTCACGTGAGGAGATCATACAATATTCTCTTAAACTAAATCATATTTAGAAGTATTGGAGGAAAATATTTAATTTAAAAAATATTTAGAATTAAATTTAAAAACATTAAACAAATTTATAGTCAAATTAAATATCTTATCGAGATGAACTCATCAAAGCTATAAGTGATTTGATCTGATCTTACTCAAATAGAGGTAAATTAAATATTTGAAGCACATTTAAAAGATAATAAAATGTAATTAAAGTTTCAGATGATATCTAAATATTATATGCTTATAATCAAATTAAACAAGAGATTATTTAATTCTGATATCATAAAAACAATCAACTTTTATAAATATATATGAACCATTCGATTAGGGGCGGAACGAGGTTATAAAAATTATGATCTGTCACAACTATATCATTGTATGTTGAATATTTGTATAAAATTAATATATAAAACTCATAGTCTCTATCATCATAAAAATTTTAATTAAATTATGCAATCAAAATATAGACGATGCATGGATTTAAGTTTATGACTAAATACGCTTAAATTTTCAAATAAATCTTTAACGAAGCTCACTTTAGCTTGCTAAAGTTTGAGATTAATATAGCTTGAAATCTTAAAAAAATAATAAATTTATACATTTTAATTTTAAGTTTACTTAAAATAAATTTAATATATTAATAAATTAGAATCACTGATCTTAAAATAAAATTGCAATTAAAAATTAATTATTTTGAGCACGTTGTTAGTAATATGATTACAATTAAAATTCAGGGCACCGTTTCTTTTACAAAAAACCATTCTATTCATTGTAAGTAAATATTATATTGTTTCTTAATCTTTACTATTATAGTAATGTGAATTATATTAAGCACCAATTATTAGTTTTTTAATGTAATTAATAAGCTATAAATGTCAAAATGATCTAGATGTTTATTGATGTTGTTATTAGATGAAAGATAAAAGAAATAGAATGAATTGAACATGCACTAAAGAAGAAAAGAAAAAAAAAAATCTTTCACTTTAGATCTCGATGCATGACAAAGTGGTATCAGTGCAGTGGCAATGAAAGAATTTAATTGTGATAAGAGCTGCATTAATGATTGCATTATTTAAGTGTACTTATATATTTAATTTATTTTAAAGATTTTATTTTGTATTTGTGTTTTGAATTTAATATATGTTTATTGATAAGACAAATGGACCCAATTATAAAAGGAAAATTTTTTGAACATGATACTGAAGTGTTTTCAATGACTTCAAGGAATATGGAAATGCTTGCTGATATTATTGCTCAAATGGCGAGTGATAAACTGGCCAAATAGTCTAGACAAAGCTACAAGAAGATAGGTGAAAGTAGTAAGCATGATTGTTAAAGCGCCTATCACACTGTAATGTATTTGATGTGAGAGGAGACATGTTGGACCATGCTTGTGAAACTCTGTAAGTAAAAGAAATTAAACTCTTAAATATTAAAAAATATTTTGGTGTAATAATCAAAATTTCATTAAGAAATTTCACAGTTGAATGTGCTTATCTTGGAGAAATCCTACGATGGGTGACCTACTGACAAGTTACACCAACATGACAAAAATCGTGAGACCCTTAGGCCAAAGTGGATAATATTTTGATAGTTAATTGTTTAGGCTGTTATAAATGGTATCAGAGCAGTACACCAACCGAAAGATAGAAACTAAGTGCAATACACGACAATGTGCTACACTATGGGAGAAACCTCTTAAATCCTGCATGGGACAAAGTGCTATATGGTAGGAGTCACCACTTAAACTTGTTAAGGGTCATCACTAGAATCATATCTTCATAGTGGATGACTATGGGATAAAGATGCTGACAGGGATGTCAGTAACTTAAGTGGAGGAGAAAATTCTCTTAGGCAAAAAAGCTAAACTCTTAAATATTGAGATACCTTTTGGTGTAATGGTTGAAATTTTATTACGAAACTATATAGTTAAGCATGTCAATCCTAAAGAAATTCTAGGACGGGTGATCTCCTGGGAAGTTACACCGACATGATAAAATTATGAGGCTTTTAGACAAAAGTGGACAATATCTCGATAGTTAAGACTTTAGGTTGTTACAATGTTACAGGGTGGCATGATAATATCTTAGGTATGATAATTATAGGCACTGAATTACAAAATGCGCATTGCCTAAACAGATTAGAAGTAGACATCTGGAAACAATGAAGGAGGCTCTTGAAGTGCCTGCGGATATGATCGATATAATTTTTACCTTACTTTAGCTTTTACAATTTATGTTTTTTTGATATAATTTTGAATCAATTTTAACGTGATTTCAGATTTATAATTGATTGAATAACGATTAGCTGGTTTGCTTTAAAATTTTATTTTGAGCATGTTCATTCTCTCAAATTGATAGAAATATTGAGGAAGATATTTTTCGAAGATAAGGAGATTATAACAAACCGAAGATGAAAAATATTTTAAAATACGATTTTTAAAATTTTTATTTGAACTTGAGCACTTTGGTGTTGTACTTGTAAGCGCTATGATACTAGGTTTACGGGCACAATGACACCATAAAAAGCCATCGCAGTGTTTGAATCTTTGTTATATAGTAATTTTGTATTCCACATGCAGCATTGTGGTGCTAGGCCATTAATAATTTTAAAACTAAGCATTAAAGTATTCTAGCACTGCCACCTCCCCTATTTTGGCCGTGACTTGCTCGGGAATGAAAGAGAGAAGGGATATGAAGATGAGAGGAAAGGAGAGAGAAAGCTAGTTTTTTTTTTGTCATTTTTATATTTTGCTTTTATTATGAAAAGTGTTCTGATCGTTGTAAGTGACTATCCTCTTCTATTTTTTATTATTTTGATTTATGTAAATTTATCTCTCCTAAATATGTCAAAAATGTATTATCTTTTAATTTAGTAAGCTTTCACCATATAACGTTTAATATATTATAGATTTGATCATTTTAAATAATATGATATGATTTTATTATATTATTACTGGTTAAATATATATAAAGAAGATTCTAGGTAAAATGAGTATGAAAAAAAAAAATAGTATGGAAATAGGTTGGAAAGTGTTGTACTATAATTTGATATGATAAGACTGTAAGATAATATGTTCTGAAATGATTGAGTTATGCATAAATATAATATTACTATTAGTCTGAATCTGATGTAATGTACGGATATGATATACTGATAGATATTAGATATATAATATGATAACCTCGTTTGATATCCTCAAGATCTACGTGGTCCACTGATAGGAGTTAGTTGATGAAAGTCATAAGAAGTGAGATTGATTAAGGGTTATAAGGAGTCAGGGTGACTATCACGTGATTGAAAGAGAGTTATAAGAAGTTTATTGATTGTGAGTTATAAGGGGTGACTGATTAGCTCATAAGTGAAGGAGCAAGATATCAGATACCTGAAATTGAATATACGATAGAATATTGATTACTGTATTGATAAGGTTTAATGTTGTCATTTATCACCAAGATGACATACAATACCCAAAGAACTATGTCTTCTTCCATTCGAAAATCCTTCTCAAAAATTCTAAGCGATAGGTGAAAATTTTATCTTTCTATCATTGCAGAAAACACAAATACCCAAATGGAGAATCCCATGCGAAAGAAGAAACTTTGGTAAGATATTTTATTGATAAAAGAATATTTTTTTTACAACAGAACAACATATTCCCTCGTCCAAGAGAAAGATGTACAACGATTTAGTTAAGAACGATCATCTTCATAATGCAATCCAACAAAGTTCAAATTATCAGTGAAGATGAAAGGAGAGATTAGTCTCCAAAAAGAATTAGTAAAACAAGTAATTAGAGCACAAAAACAAATTGTCAATCAATTCTCATTCAAACCATAATTTTCTTCAATTGTCTGAATAATTAAGCTAAAAACATTTAAAGATGATTGACAAATTCGGCCTTAAAAAAGAGGGATCTTCAATTCTCATTGAAGCAATAATTTTAAACGTTGGTCATAGATGAGGCATTGTGCACTAAATTCTGAGGTTATGATATTGTTGGACGGTGGACTTCAACAGTTAAGAAAGTCCCCCACACATTTTTTCCCATTTTTCCATTTTCAAAGAAACTGGATCATGTACTTGATTTTAAAATGAATTATAAGGCAAAGAATGAGGTAAGGCATTATCCATCAGATTGGCAACAGGATGATGCAATGGGCTGATATGATCCAGACTGCACTTTTTGAACAAGAGTTCAAAGAAATTGGGGAATTAGTTGAATCAGCTATTTATAATTTGGAGAAAGGCAAGATTTGACTTCTCAAATGGTGACTTCGGCCTCATTTGGTTTCTCCCGATATTTTTTCCTTCTCAGATCGGCGAAATTACGTAGGTGTGGCAAAAGTTAATTGAAAAAGTCGCGTAAACAAACAGTAAAATAAAAAGTTTTTCACCGGTTGAAATCGGAAACGGAGAACTTGAGGCCAACCAAAGGAGGCCTTCATTTGTTCAACAGTTCATACTTCCTTGCTTGTGCATGGGTCTCTGCATACTAGTTGAATTACATACTATAATTTGGATTTAACCAGTTTTTCCAAGTTTCCATGCTTGAATGGCTAAAAGAGAATTCAATGCTAAACGCAAATAACTAGCCTGGGATTGCTGGGGAAAATGTTTCAAGCAATGGAAAAAACTATTTTGAATCAGGCAAGAAAAGTAATACCGGGTACAATGATCTGCTTTGATAGTTTGACAGCAAGAATGCAAATTTCTAGCTTATGTAGGCACACAAAACATAGAGAGAAAAGTTTACAGATTGTAAGTTTCCTGTACACTACAAAAGAAAAATACAGACAAATCCACAAAAGATCTGGTCAAGAGAACACAGGTTTTGAGAATGCCGGCATGATAGAATCAAGAAAAAACATGGTTCGTACAGAAAGACTAAATATTATATAGACATGACAGACTTTGATAGGTCACCGCACCTTCTATAAAGCAAATCCAAGCATTTCAACCACTGTAGAAAGACCTACTGAACCAACTGCTTGTAAACGGTCTGTGTTCGGGGACCATAGCTTCTTCAAAGACCAAGGAATTCATCTTGTGGAAGATCTATCATGAGCAGGCGGTCAGCGGATGGGGTGGTATTGTGTGATTCCTCGTTTGGGTGGTAGCTTCCTCAAAATGAAAAGAACTAGAGATGAAGGGAGAATTTCCACCAGCTGTGAGCCATCAATATAAGTTAGCCAATAACAGTGTATGTGGATTATGTTTTACATAACTCATCACTTATTACCGCGACATTTGCATTTGAAAATAATCAATAAAGAATGCAAGAACAATAGAAAAGAATATATTATACACAGCAAAGCATTCTTATCAGCATAGCATAATGCGAAAAAACATGTCATGCAAAACAAAGCTATATATATCCTTCAGTAATGCTGATGTAGCTGGCAAAATCTGAGAAATGGATAAGCAGATAAAAACTGTGTGACCGACAAATCTTCGTTGGCATTTCTCGGATGCAAATAGTGGAAAATATTCTTCATGTCCAAGAAACAAGACTTGATAAGGTATTAGAGCTCATTCTACATCAGTTACCCATAAGAAAACATTTGAAATGGCAAATTACTGATAGGAAATACTTGCACTTTAGCAACAAATCTCACAGCAAACTGCTGTCCACAGCAGGAAAACAGCCAAAATAAGTAGGAAAACAGGGAAAAACTGCAGAAAAACGGAGAAAATACTTGTATTTTACTAGTAGTTGCAAGGAAAATAGCAAAGATACAAGGATCCTCTATTCGAGAGGAGGATCGCACTCTCCCAATCTCTAGAATTCGATCTAGAGCCCTAGCCACCAAAGAAGAACAAGAAATCTCTTACAAAATATGACATAACACTAATCCCCCTTTTTCTCCCTACTTAATGCATACAATTCAAATCTAATACAAAAGGACCTAATTACCCTTGCTCCCCCTCCTTTTGGCTCCAAGATTCAATTCAAAATTCAAGTGGACCCCACCTAAATCCCCTCTTCCTGCTTCCGCCGGCTCCTCCTGGCGTAAACGAGCTGAGCCGGCCCAAGAGGCTGGGCCGGCTGGACCCGGGGTCCTCCTTGGGCGGTCTAACATTACCGGCCTCCCCAAAGAACACTTTGTGCCTCCAGGTGGAAGTCAGGAAACTGTTGCTTTCATCCGCTCGTATGGTCCCACGTGGTCCTCGTAGTCAGGGAGGTTCTTCCATTTGATCAGGATTGTAGTTGCTCTCATTCTGCCTTTCTAACGAACCTCCCATTAAGCTCCAAGGTTCTAGTATCATCTCCATCTCCTCTGTAATGTCCTGGCAACTCGTACTAGTAGCATGGATCCCCAATGCTCTCTACTCGTTGGGATACATGGAAAACGGGGTGGTATCGTCGCCGTGGTTGGTAGCTTCAGTACGATAGGGTAGGCTCCAATTTTTCCACCGCACTCATAAGGACCGGAGTAC